GTTAGAGACTCTGGCGGTTATGTGTCGACGGTTCTGCATATATAACACTCATCTCCATCTTGAGGGAATCCGTTGCGACCTCAAGGATAAGGTTGACGATCTGAGCCCCAACTCAGCCTCCAGGCTCTCGGCAGCTTCAACAATCGATCGATCTTATGTTTAAAGATTTTCTTCCTTTTTCATTTTTCACTTAAATTAATCTTCTTTTAATTCTTATTAATTTTGAGTTATGAAAAAAATAAATGCCACGTCCATTCTCACTTGGCGTATAGTACTCCAGGTTGAGTTTCAAGGAATAACTTTTGATGAAATATCAACCACTTCTCTGCGCATTATCGATAGTCCCATGATGAGTTCAATGTAAGTGGTGTAGTCAAAGGCTGTAGTGCGTGTAAGGGTCAGTGAGTGGTTTAATTTGGGCAGTTTGCAGATCAAGTACTGTGTGCCTAGCTAGCTATCTACTTCCTTGGTCAATGATATTAAAGAGTCACTTGTACCGTAAGAAATTTTAGGATAACATGAAAATTATAGGAATAAATAAATCTATAAGGAATCTTAATAGGAACATAGATTATGAAAGGTTAATCAGAAAGACAATCTATAACTAGCTAGACGATATCATTATAGAGCACGATTCATAAAATTTTGTGACATTATTCAACTATGTCTCATCTGTTCTTATACGAGAGATTTCTTGTCTTCTTTATGGGAAGAAAAAGCTAGAGAGTGTTTGGGATTAGGTCCTTTGTATGCTAGTTTCACCTAAGACTCTCATAAAACTCAAAGCGGGTAAGTATTTTACTTCCAGTCATTGGGTCCATATCGAGTTTCACTAGTCATGACTCATGAGCTTAATAATTTGACCAATTGTAATAAGGGGTATAGCCACGATTTCATCAAAGGTGGGTCCACTAAAAAAAATAGTTAATGACTATTTATTAGTCAAACCTTTTTCGAATTCTTTTTTATTAGTCAAACCTATCGACTACGAATTAGCGAGATGTTAACTTCCAGTGAGTAATTTTGACAGTAATATTGACTTGGCAATGTGATACTAACTTGGAAGAGACATTATGACGAAAAAAAATGAAAACGTTGTGTATTTAGTATAAAGTTGTATTGTATATTTTTTTCTATTTCTATATAACCATCTATTCAATTTATATTCTAGAGAAATTTTTTATTTTAAGGTATTTTTAGAATTTAGATAATGCCATTTTTGTTGGAATGTTCTAACGAATCTTAGTATTATTATTAATAATATCATATTTCTTAAAATTCCAAAATTCAATAATATCAAAATACATGAAGATCAACACTCCAAAATTTTAGTATTTTAACTAAGAAAAGAGTTACAAAATTATTAACGATAACGTAAAAATGACTAATATTTTGATGCATTACGAAAGATTTGACTAATTAATTGCATTTTAATAGTTTAGACCATATAAAAGAATCTGAAACAGGTTTGGATAAAAAAATACATTACCCAAAAAATACGTATGATAAAATAATTTATGTTAAATTTTTTAAATCATTCATAATATAATCTTATATTTGGACAATTTTGGTAAATTAAAATACATTAGTAGTCGAAACTATCAAGAATATCATTCTCTGTGTACCAAACAATTAATCATGATTTAGATTAATCATTCTCTTTTGAATAATGTTCTTTGTCAAGAACCGTCTAGTATCAATAGCTCAAGTTGTTGAGAGATGTTTAATAATGAATCTTATACTAAAAAATTATTCATGATTTAGTTAGTCATTCGCTTTTGAATGACATTCTTTGTCAAAAACGGTTTAGTATTAATAACTTTAGCTGTTGAGAGGATTCAATAACGTATCCTGTACAATTTACTAACCTCCCCCTCATAAGAAATCCAGCTTATATGGACAGAAGTTTGTACAAATCTGAATACCATGTGTTTAACAAATGACGCCGTCAATATTCAAACACAAGACCTCTCGATCAACTATTCTCAAATAGATATTCTCTAATTTTTGATATTAATTAACTATTGTGTCTAATTTAATCTTTTTTTTCGAGCCTGAATACTACCATGTTACACTCTCCTTGAGCTAAATAAATAGCTAATGAGAAATTCTGAAACCCTAGGCTTTGATGTCGGAGCTTGAAGGGAAGAAGAAGGATCAAATTAGAAATTTCTGGAAATTTTGGCTATGAGCCTTCTCGTACATCTTGGCTTTCTTTATATAGTAGAACTGAAAGCATGCGCTACGCCACGGGTTCTTAATTAATTAAGAAGGAATTAAATAAGTGTGGATTTAGGATTAAGTTTACCTAAATCAAGATGTAAAGGGTTTATTATATACATTTTCACTACGTTTTATTTTCGTAAATAAAAATTCAAATATTATTAGTAAATTTTCTATAATTTCACTTTTTTTAGTTCAAAACGATTGACGCGTGATTTATTTTACGTGTCACTTCTTCCGCAAACTTAGTGTATTGTTTCACCGAATTGTCATTTTCGATTGTTTGTTTTTTTTTTTTTCGTGGGCTACAACATCTTTTGATTCAGATTTGCACCTTCTATTTGTTGATGTCGATAGAATGGAAAGATAGCAAGGATATCAATTAAGATATGACCGGTGTAACACTCAGATGATTTCATTTACAACAGCAAAAGAATATTTGCTTTTGTCAAGGACCTTGCATGTGATCGATGATTTTCTATATATGGTGAGCCCCATTTTTGTTCTATTTGTTTAACCATAGCCAACAGGCCGTAAACAGAATAGCAACAAATAATTAATAGGGAATTCCTATAATGCATTGGAGTAAGGGTAACTTGATTTTTTTTACCTGTTATAGCAGGTTTCACAGGTTGTAGTACATAAAATACAATAGGCATTACATAATGATTATGTAATGTATGTGTATCTTACGTAACAGTTGTAAAATCTCATTACGGAAGCCTTATGTAATGGAGGGGTCGTTTACGTAATGAATATTTACATCGCGTTACGTAAAGTAATAAGTCATTACGAAAGTCTTACATAATGCTACTAATTTAATTGTTACGGAAGAAATAACTATCATTACGGAAGTCTTACGTAATTGAGGCTTCTCTTACATAATGAATATTGGGGTAGCCAGAGCATATATATAATGATATTAAAAAATATATCTGGATATTGACTGATGTATCTATGTCGATTTTGGATGCATATATATACAATTAAGTGAAATGAATTTGATTGCTTTCACGTGACATGTCAACTCACGCTAACGACTGATGAATGAAATTAAGGTCCCTTGCCTGCTTTGCAATTGGCTCCACGTACACCGCTAGTCAACGTCAAATTAACACGATAAGTACTACACTAATCAAACAAAAATTTAACGATTTTATTAATTGGTTAATTGAAGTTAACCAATATAAATAGCATTATCATTATGTGATAAATTTTTTTACACTAATCCATAAATTATATAATGAATAAAATATAATAGTTAACTCATTGTTAACACTACACATAAATACGTGTACAACTCACATAATTATCTTACAATCATTAGAGGTAGCCACATAATAAAACTATATGTCAAAGACATGACTAATAATGAATTAAGTTTGTCTGTGTGAATCGTTTTAGCAGGCTGAAAGCTCTTCCAACTTTTCATTTAACATAGTGTATGCAATTTATGTGAATTAGGAGCACATATTTTGTTGCCTAAAATCTCTTATAACAAATATAGTATAAGAACAATTATAAGCTATGAATTTTTTTATTTGTCCAAAATAAATGAACACTTAACTCTGCATAGTGGTTAAGCCAAGTATCAAGTATGAGCCTATAAGGTATATCATATATTAGATATATTACTAATTGTCTAATTTTTTTTAGTTGATTGATTATACGTGTCCCAAACCAAAAAAGCTAAAAAATATTAACCACTTTGAATTAATCAAATCAAATTATTAGAATATTATTGATTCGAAACACCCTAATTCGATGGATATTGACGTACAATGATTGAAGCTGAACCAACGTAGCTTTTCCGACACTGCCAAAGGAAGCGGTTTGTCTCGATCGAGGGTCCCGTTGCTGCATGGCCATGCAAAGCTGCTGCGCTAGAATAGAAAGCAAAGGGACCTTATTATTATTAATTACTCCACCTCCAGGCTGTTGAGTTTGAAATGAATAGCGACATATACAGCGTTGATGAAATCCCAATCACATCTCTGTGTTGGATTTCTTCATATACATACAAGAGCAAATTAAATTTGTTTTTGTCATTATCCTAAAACAGTCCACATTAACGGCAAAGAAAACTAACGAGTAACGATTGAAATGAATGACCAATTGCTAGCTAGATGCTAGGTACGTGGCAAATAACTAATCACAATTAACAAACTAATTATAGTCAAGTGACGACTGGTGAAGAGCATGCACAAGGAAGAAAGAAACGCTTGTCTCTTTTCTCGGTAAAAGTGGCATATAGAGATGGCCATTTGAACCCGTCCAGTTGAATATTATCCAAGTGATGGGACGAGTATTACCCGACTCGTAATAGCATAGGGAACATGGGTATTTACTTTCAACTCACTCACTACAAAAGAAATGGACTTTAACGATGGGGAAATGGGCCGAGAGTATGAAACCCAGTCGGCAAAAGCAATAAAGTATCCCGCCATTAGCTTTACTGGGGGAGTGGGCCAATTGCCCTCGTTATTGAATAAAGAGAGCTTTGTTTTTATTTGGGCATCCAAAATTTCAGTTTTTCCTCGGGTTAATTGCATGATTGGTCACTGAAATTACAAAAAAGGTTCATGTTTGGTTACTGGAAATATTTAAATCCAATTTTGGTCACTCAAATTAGTTAAACGGTTCAAGTTTGGTCACTCTCCGTCCATTTCCGTTAATTCTAGCTTACGTGGCAGTCAACTTTCTTAGTTGACCGTTAAATATGTGATGTGACAATTTAAAAATTATTAAAAATAAAAAAATAAACTTTTATATTTTCCACCTCATTATTACATTCATTGAAATAAAAAAATAAAAAATAATAATTTCTTTTCTACACCAACCAACTGTACTTCTCAATTAGGAATCAAGCAGAGGGCTCGGGAGTTGCCAACTCTTCTGCGTTCTCGATCGACACAACGGAAGGCATGGCAGAGGCGACCGCCGAAGCAGAGTAATGGATCTTTCTTTTCTTCTGCATCCTTGAGTGGCACAGCAGCGGAGTTGGAGAAGAGAATTCCGCCGGTGGCGATTGGGGCAGAGCAGAGCAAAATCTGAAAGGGCGATGGCGGCGATGGGGTCGCTTCGAGCGATTGGCGAGCCAGGACTTCACTTCTTCAACCGCTTCGGGGGCCATGCCTCACTGGAATTCTCTCCACCAGGATCAAGTCGCTCGACGTTCGCACCGAAACCAAAACCAAGGTTTGACGAGCCGCCGCGAGGAATCACTAGGTCGAGGAATTCCTATTCTCCTCCCTAAGCGCCGCTGATAAATCAAGCAACGAACTGAGCCTAGACGTCAGCGACGGGCAGAGCAGAGGAAGAGCTGCAGAGCGAGGGTCGGTGAAGGCAGATGCTTCTTGTTCTCCTTCCTCAGCGCCGCTGAGAAATCCGGCACCGACTGAGCCAAGGCGGCAGCGACGGGGGAGCAGCAGAGCGAGGGTGATGGAATTAAAAAATTTCGTTGAACAAGGGCGATGGAATGTAGGGCGATGGTTTGGTCGAGCAGGAAGAACGATGGAGACCCGACCCACGCCGCCCACCTCGCTGCCACTGTAATTCCTGACACTGCAAGAGTCGCTGATCGTTTTTTCATTTTGGATTTGCAGGCGGTGGAGGGTTGTGTTTATGGGAAGCGGGTGAAGACAGGGGAAGGGCGGTCAATTGAGTTGGTCAGGTGGGCATCAGGGCGGAGCGTGGAATCGATCCCCTCTCGAACTCCATAGACCAGCAGCGAGGGAACGCCGGCCCAGAATCGAAGCAGGAGTTGAGGTCGAAGGCGGAGTGGAGCGACGAGTCGGCGCGCTTGCAGAAATTTTTTTAGGTTTTGGGGTGTGTAGAAAAGAAATTAAATTTTTTATTTATTTCAATGAATGTAATAATGAGGTAGAAAATATAAAAGTTTATTTTTTTATTTTTAATAATTTTTTAATTGCCACGTCACATATTTAACGGTCAACTAGAAAAGTTGACTGCCACGTAAGCTAGAATTAACGGAAATGGACGGAGAGTGATCAAACTTGAACCATTAACTAATTTGAGTGACCAAAATTGGATTTAAATATTTCAAGTGACCAAACATGAACGTTTTTTGTAATTTCAGTGACCAATCATGCAATTAACCCGTTTTCCCTCTCTTTCGAAATTTTGATGATTTTATTTCGCTCTCTTTCTTGCCAACCCTACCTGCCAATGGACTAAATACAGTTTCCCTCAAAAGGTAGAAGACGGCTTTTCATCTTCTTTCTCCTGCAAGAACAAGATGTCCCGATCGTCGATTCGTAGGCTCGTAGCCACTTCTGTGTTCATGTTCAATAGGTATTAATCTCTCCATCACTGAGGCATCTAGATCTGTAGTTCATTATGATGGGATTTCGTATGTTAATAGATCTCTAGTTGCTTCCACCTTTCATTCTCCCATCTTTCTCTTCTTTTAACCTAATGTCTTTTTCCCCATCTAGATTCCTTGAGATTTTGTTCTTGCGGCAAGCCTTTACATGGCTTTCTCCAAAGAATTGGAATTTAGGTTTTTGCCTGTTACTCTTTAACTTCCCCCATTCATTCTATTTGTTTGACCGATTCCCCAATGTTGACTTCTTTTAACCTAGTGTATCTTGCTTCCCAACTGGCAGTGTATATGAAACAAGGAAATTTTGTTGCATGTCCGGCAATGTCACTTTGGAAGCAAAAGGATTTATGCTCTGGTTTTGCCTCTTACGTTTTTACTTTCAGGTCAAGCTCATTGATTGTTCTAAGCTTGCATAAGAAATTGTTCTTTCGTTTTTTCAACTAGTACCCTGTCTTACTCGGGTTTACTTGGCTACGCGGCCATGCCCTTCGTATTCCTTGGCCTTTTCCTAGCTTTATTTAGTTGATTTGTGTCTGGTTCTTGCTGTTTTTTCATATTCGTTTTCTGGTTATGGAATTACACCTCCTTCCTCTTGCTGCTGGGTGTAGTTCAGTGTAATCAGAATGTCGTTTGAGGCTTTGAACACTGTGTGAAATGCGGTGGTAGGGGTCAGGCCTCTATCCTTATGGTCTTTGTATCCTCCTGCAACTGTTGTAGTAGTTTGTTAGACCGCTCACTTGCTGCTGTCGGTTCTGTCCTTTAGGCTTTATCTTGTTTGGCGGGCAGTCCTAGTGAAGCAGAGCTTCTGTTGTTTCTTTTGTGTTCTCTGATTTTATGAAATTATCACAATGGTAAAAGAAAAAACTAGTTCCCTGCCTTGTGGTGCGAATGTAATTTGCTTGTCATTGATCTCATCTAGTACTTTTCTCAGTTTGTACTTCTAGTTGGCATAATTGAGATTGCAATTTTTGTTTTATATGAAACTCTTAGTGCTGAACTTGATGGTTGGTTCCATATATGGTTGTCCCCTGATTTCGAATTGCCTCTATTTAAATCTAGAACACAATGAAAACAAACAAGGTTGCTTATACTTCTAAGAGGAACGCTGTGAATTTCATTCAACCATGCTCTTTGAGTAAAAATGTGATCGAGTAGGCAATTCTTTTCAAGTATATCTAGTTCTGGTGGTGATTGCTCTCATCGCAGCTCGGATAGTGGAGTTCCATCTTGAGAGAAATGATTTTAATCCCACAAACTACAGGAGTTCCTCTGGCCACCCAGAATCAACCCATCTAATCGGGTTTTGTTCTGTTTTCTCATCTAATCTTAGAATGTTCTCTTTCACATTTAAACATTTTCGAGCCTTTTAGTGATGAGTTTGTGTGCGTTGACAACACTATATAATGATTGTGAGATTCCCCAGTAAAAGCAGGCTGGCTAGCTGAATGTCCTTATTAATCGTAAATATGATAGACTTAGCGCCCAAGTCGCTCTCTGCTTGCTGCATGCGTTTATGCTAGCTAGCTGCTGCTGCAAGCCCATTAGCTTTTTTGCCTAGAATCCTTTCATTTTCAGTAACTAATGGGCTGCCCATCTCCTTGTTATTCTTTGGCTACTCTAATAGTTTTTTTTGTTAGAAGGGCATTGGTATTGAATATTTGGGAAATTGCTGTGTATGGTGGAATGGAGCATTGAGGGTTTGTGAGGAAAATGTTTGTACCCTTGCTGCCAGTGGAAGTTAGGTATTAAGACATTTGTCTATGTGGCTTATGTATCCTCCCACAACTGTTTTTAGGAGTTTGTTAGGTCATCTCCCTTGTTGTCGGTTCTGTCCTTTGGCTTTTTCTTGCTTGGCTGGCAATCCTTGTGAAGCCCCGAGCTTCTGTTGTTTCTTTTGTAATACAATGTTCCCTTATTATATACAATTTTTGCTTAATACAAGTCTTAGTGGTGAATTTTATGGGATTGAGTAAAGATTTTCCTTTCATTTTTTCAATTTGTAATTGTACTCGTGGTTGGCATCCATATATGGGTTTCCCTGATTTTGCTTTGCCTCTATAATTCTACTTACTATTAATAAGATACTCTTTGATTTTAGGAAGTAATGAAGTCAAACAAGATGATTGGGAATGGTTGTTAAAAGAGCATTGCCTAACTGAAGAGTTTAAGGTAAATATTGTTGACTGCATTCAACTTGTTCTTATCATTATTATGGTTAGTGTAGTGATGCTTGAACATTTTATTTGTAGGGAATAAGTGTAAGAAATGCAATTAATAGAGCCCAAGGATCAATGCCTTGTGCCCTTGTCTTCTTGGAAGTAAGTCAATCGGAGAGCTTACATATGAAAAGGTATTAGTCGTTTGGGATTGATGCCAGGTTGCTTTCCCCTCCCTCTGTTTTTCTCTCCTTTCCAAATTAGTTTCATCTGTTTTCTTCACTTTTGGCAATTGTGAGGTTTGGTAGTTTGAATGGTGGGTTGTCTTAGTAGGTATGTTGCATATCTTAACAATGCACTTCATTTAATTTGTTTAGATGGACGAAGAAGGGAATGCTCCAAGTTTTGCAACCATGTTCTCTCTCGCGCGTCAAAAAGGAGGGACAATCGATCCTAGGTCTGCTGGAAAAGAGGTATGCTAGTTTTCATTTATGTACTACACAATTTGATAATTACAAGGCTTTGTAATTGCGAATAGGCAGAAATTATTCAAACTGCACAAATAATCAGGTTTGTTTTATTTTCTCATCTAATATATTTTGTAGAACTTGTATTTTCTCTATAGCATAAGTTTGGAAGCTAAAAGAAAGTGAACTTCATTAAATTTAAAGCGGCAGTTGGTCTTAGTCGGGCAGTGGAAACTTGAAACTTTATAAAAATCATTCATGTGCAATTTGATGAGTCTTAGTGAAGGGCAAAACACACTTAGCATGCATGGCTACTTCATTGGTAAGAAAAGGTAAGAAAAGGAGTATGATAGTACTACTGGTATTTTTTAGCAGTTCTGTACATGTTCTTGATTTGTTGTGAGTTGGCGGATGGGTTACAACCCTTTAGTTGGCTTGTGGGCTCTTTTTTAGAGATTTGGTTTTGAATGGAAATTAGTCTTTATAGATAGTATTTGATAGGAAAGCAGTAGTTGAGCTTCAACATGCAGCTTATTGTGTTAATAGATGATCTGACAGTAGATAATTTGTATGCTGCAATTTTGTGTGTATGCTTTTCCTATGTTTTTTCATAATTCATAAAGTTTTTTTTATAGATATAATTAATAATAAAGTTTTGACACCATTATAAAAGAAGTTTGGAAGCTAATATTAGATTGTCTTTTGTGAACAGGTGCTTATATGTCGTTGGATTCAATGGACAAAGCTGGCCTTGACGTTATGTATATTCGATGTTTTTAGCTTTTACAAACCGTTTGGTATCAAATAAATCGAAAATTCATTTCATTGTAAAATGAATTACCGTATAGAATTAATTTTCAAATAAAATCTTGTGTTTGGTATGCCATATTCAAATATTTATAGAGGTGATCAAACTGTTTGTAAGTGGGAAACTTATCCGTTATTAATATATGAATATTTTTATGTCATTGTTGGAACCTTTGTACAGAAAATATTATTGTTGGCCAAAAAACTTCCAGCGTTAATTATTTATTAATTATTAGATGAGAATGGTAATTTGATCACTTACTGTGATTGGGATCCCATTAACTAACGAGGGGAAGAAAGTTGCTTGTCCACATATACCGACCAGGCTCTCCGTCGGCAATGCTCACAGACCAGTTGTCAAAATTTACTTTCAACGACAGTAAGACAACCTCTCGGCAAAGCTATTAACGACGGGTAGTAAATTTCCCGTCGTTATAGAGTTTTACCGGCAGAAGCTATAGTAAGCGGTGTGATCCTGTCGTTAATATCTTTTGCCGACCGGATTTGCATCATTAACGACCGGATTCTACTCTCAGCAAAGCCTCTTTTTTTTTTTTTTGTAGTGACTCTATTTCGCCACATCCCATTCTTGGACCATTCTATCTCAATTTCTTACAATATGTATTCATATTTTGACATTTCTTCAACTAGTTAGATTGGTGGATTGATCACGAATTGAGTCAAATGAATTGGTGGATTGCATTCATAGATCCAAGTGACATCTAAACATTGAACCAATATAATATTTTTTTTTACAAGGGTGATATAAGTTCACTTTTTGTGGTTAGATACAGCTTAACCGTTCCAAACTTGAGACCTCACCATGTTCAAAACTAATGGTATTACCACTAGACCAAACTCTTGTTCATCCATTGATTTTTTATTTTTATTTTTTTCATTTGAAAAAACTTTTATGCGTCACTTGTCCAATCCATGACCACCTGCCAATCTGATCTTCATTCTCATTCTAAATTTCTAATCACCTAGAAGTCAATTTCCATTTTGTGTGAAAACAGGTAGTCTTAAGTCCATTACTTGTTCACGTATCGACCATTGACCAAGTTACAGACAACGTTCATCAATTGAGCGGGTGTGACAAGAACAAAACACATCAATCTTTTCTGTTGTATTTAAATATTTAATCATATGACAATAAATCCGTCTTCCCGGATGAAAATCCATCAAGAAAGTGGACAGCCTTTAGCACTAACCCCAGTTGCAGTCGGGCAAGAAGCCAGAGGACATCCATCTGAGTCGCTCCCCCACCATTCAAGACTAACATGCTGCATTCCCAAACACAGGTACAGAAGCACCGCCATGAACGCTAATCCAGCATCAAGAGACCCCGACAGGACGTAGTTATGGCGACTCCACCACTCCCTGTAGTATCTGTAAGCAACAAACCCTGAAGCAAAACCAACAAGCACCCAGCTCGTGTAATTCACTGCAGTAGCGGGAAGCATGTTGAGTGTGGTGCTCAAGATCACCGGCAGGGAAATGAGTTTGATCCAATGCTGGTCAGGGAAAGCCTTGTGCGCTAGCCAAACTAGAACAGGAGCTACAGCTCCGGCTAAGAAGAACCAGTTGATGTTGGAGTAGTATCCGAGGTCCCCGAAGATTCTCCGTGGGCCGATTAGGCCCCATATCACAGAAGCATCATAGAACACATGGTCGCCGGGGCATGTCCATGGACTGTCGGGTGGAAGCAGCAAGCGGTCGCATATGTTTGGGATTGTGCTCATTAGCCACCACGCTGTTCCTAGATGAACAAATGCTGCTATTACAGCACCAACCACCTGAAACAAAAATCAACTCACAGAATGCAATGAGATTTCTGTTTTTTTTTTCTTTCTTTCTTGTTTGATTAGAGGCTGAGAGAATATAATCAACTAATCCAACCTGTGCCATGAACATATCTCTAGGTGGGATCTTCATGTAATGACCAAGTTTGAAGTCCTGGAGGAACAGAATCCCCTGTTTCATGCTGATGTACCCATACACTTTGAAGCAGACATTGGCCACTGGGTACCCTGGGTATAGATACCCAATTACAAACTCTGTTATCACGTTGAGGCCCGGTGTCTAATCACCAAGAAAGCGAAAACAGAAAATCGGAGCTTCAGACATCCAAAAATTTCCATGAATATCCTATGTAACAGACAGTAGTAATGTAATGCATGATTTACCTGATTCGTCGTAGCAGTAATGATTCCAACCGGAAGAGTGAAGAAGAATGCAATAGCACAAGCTAGCAGCACGCCCCACCAAGGCAGTTGAAGCTGATCCTTGTAAAATTCACATATAAACATGGTTGCTGCAATGTTCAAGAACAGCATTGACAAGAACCACCATTCTGGAACTTGCTTATACTTCCTCATCAGCTTTGTGTGTACATCCATTTGCTTGTCCTGGAAGGCAGACTTGCTCAGCTCCCATATATCCCTATTAAACCCCCATTCCCCCACAAAAATCCAATCTTAATCAGAAACAAAGCCAGTTCAAAAGGGCAAACATGGAAATGCTGGGTGGGGGGGACTTAACCTTACCGTCCATGGAAAAGGAAGACATGAACGACTGTGGCAGTCAAGCAAGCAAAATTACAGCCATAAACCATTGCAAAAACAGTGCTGAGATAGAGATGTCCTTGCTTATCATAAGCATCAACGTCGATGTGGAAGTTCGAGTCGACGATGGCGGATATATTGTATTCCTGACCATCACCTCTGAACAAGCCATCTGAGAATATGGGGAACGTTTTGGCTCTGTAGACGTTGAGCCAGTACGCTAGAGGAGTGATGACATACATGAACAGCGTAAAGCCAAGTGCTACATTAGCTGTAGCGAACCATGGGCTTGCCAGTGGGCTTCCCAGGTAGGCTGAAATGGTGGCCCAATCGAAGCCCACGGCGCCTATCCCAAGCCCACGGAATCCCGACCCGAGTTGGTGAGCTAAAACTGAAGCTGGCAATACCCAGCAGAGCCATGAGAAGGATGATAGTTTGGGAAAGAGGTAATCGGGGAAAACGTAGTAAGCAAAGCTGCAGGTGAAGGCCATTATGAAGAACTGGTTCCTTGTAACTCCTCCCTTCCTCCTATGCTCTTTCTCATGTAACGCCCTGCAAGGGGGGAAAATCCAATTGTAGGCTTGTAGCTATAAGTGACATGGGCTGGGCCCATCGGGGTTACGGGAAAGCCCATTGTAACGAGATATAGGCCCAGTGTTTCTCGGATTTGTAACTCTGCTGACGTTTGCCATGACGGCGGAAAAGGACAAACAAGAAAGAGGGGAAGAAGTCAAGAAGGGGGATTGGTTACCGGAAGAGGGAGACTTGGACGAGATTCTGCGGCCACCACATCGCCGCCGGCTCAACCAAATACCGGCGGAAGATCCCTGCCCAGCCGAATCCGAGCACCTGGGTGGTGAGGACGACGAGGAGGGCGACGAAGAAGGTCAATTGCTTCTTGTAGAAGAGCTTGACGGCGCTGACGATGTGGATCGCGTAGGGATTGCCGGCTCCGGAATTGGCGAAGATTGTGATGAGTACGTGTTCCTTCACATTGAAAGGGCCCGGATTCAGGCTGAATTCGAGTCTGGTCCCTCGGAAGAGCAATCTGTTGGGCAGGGCGAAGGCCATTAAGTGGCCGAGGGGAACCACCGCGATCTGGGCGGAGATGGCGGTGATGGAGAGTGGCTCTTTGCGGTACCAGAAGAACTGGTTGAGGAAAGAGAGGAGGACGCAGGCGAGGGCACCGAGGGTCCATGTCCGGAAAGTGACGCTGGGGACGGAGGGGTCGTCGGTGGCCGGGACGGTGAGCGCAACTTGCTCGATCGGAGAGTTCTGGAGATTGTCGTCGTCGGCATCGTCCTCCTCTGGAATAGCGCCGGAGGTCGACGCGGCAGCGTTTTTCTTCTTCTGCTGCTGCTGAACTGATAGTAAGTAAAAGACAACGGTGGGCAGACATTAGAAAGGAAATTGGACAAGTGGGAAGTTGGAAGTTGGAAGGAAGCAGGGGGTGCTTACGAAGAGGAGCTGTGATTTCGTTGCTAATGGCGGTCATCTAATTCCGGCGGTTCGAATTCTGTACTGATCGGCTACCGCGCTAAGCCGGCTAAAGGTGAATTGAATGAGCAGCAGAAGCACTATCCCGATTCCGCCGCTCTGGTTTCATGACCGAGGCATCAATTTTCTTCGTTGGTCATAATTTATTGTTTTGTGGCAACATGATTTTAAAATGTCTACATTGTGCTATCCAGTAGGGACATTGCTAATATAAAATTAAGCCTAAAAATCCAGAAAGAAAGAGTATTATATCAGAGGGAAATTTACACACGAAATCTGCGATGAAATTTACACCAGAATCAGATAGTGTACATGGACAGGTTTCAGGAGAGAATGCATTGATTTTACAGAAGAGAAACTCTTACGTGTGTCAGAATAGTGGCGGAGGCAGTTCCTTGTCCTTTTTTCGAAATATAAATATATAATTAACAATATTTATAAATTTAATTAAAATTAATAATTTCCGTGTAATTCATTTATAGATAAAGAAATAACCGACTAATGCAATTATATTTTGCATAAAAAACCACAACGATTTTTATATTATGAAAAAAATGCAAAATATATATGTTGCTAACACTCTTATACGTCACTTTTAATGTATTACACTAAATAATCATTAACAAACTAATTGGCAATTCGACTTTGAAACAAGTTGTTAATATAGTTAAAGTTAAAATGTCATTTCTACACTTAAGCAAATAAACTGATTATGTGATTGATGCACTTTTGACTCCACCTACTCGTGATAATTCACATTTCATCATACACAAGTTGTTGTCAAATAATAGTGTTATAAATTGAATCAATAAATTAATTTTTTTGTCAATTAATAAGCAAGTAATGAGTTAAGGTGTTATGACAAAATATCCTTATGTGTGGAGTGTGGTATTATGAACTCTCCAGAAAATTACTCCTGTCCTGAGACAAGGGCAAAGGAGCCTGGCTCCGCCTATGGTTTAAGAGACAGTGATAATTTATCTCTTTTTTTTTTTTTTGTTGAAGTCTTCTAAGTAATATTAAATTTACCAAATAAGTGGTTAGTAATATTGTGGTTGGTTAATTAAATTTATAAAATCCTGTGAAAAAACCAATGGATTGATAGATGAGGTTGATGAAATTGTTTGGAAAAGAATAGGATATCTACATAAATACAAAAGAATACGTAAATACGGGTGAATTGTACATTTGACATTGTGTGACCACTCGTTCAGGAATTTTGCTAGAGGTCGACTTGGTAGGTGTGATGCCCGTTTTTATCTTTGGGTGTGGGACAATTCGAGTCAATCCGTGGGTTGACCCCAGGTTGACAACCTTGGTTAAGTCTCAATGGTGTATACTGTATGGTTATTTTTCTGACTTGGAAATAAACTAACTAATACTAACTAGCTTTGTGCCCAGCCTATTGGCCGGGTGAATTTCACGTCTTTTCTTATATAAATTTGTGGTTTTTTCATTTAGGTTTATGAGACTATAACTAAGTAACCCTTGATTTCTCAACAAACTCTCGACATTCAATCGATAATTTTTAGTGATTGACCTAAATAATACATATTCCTAAGACATTCAATTCATAAGTAAGGACTTTTTGTGCACATCTTAAACATTTCTATAATATTTATCATGCACATATAATTGTTCAATTCTCCCTAATTATTACTCATGTCCTCCAAGGAAGATTAAAACTTTGTACGAATTTACATCTAAATATATCAATGAAAGCACTCAAATTTATCATTTCTACATTAACCTTCTAGTTATTTTTCATGAATACTAATTTAAATTAAACAAAAAATGTGTCAAAGCACGGATTATACGAAACCCTATTCCCCTGCCGTAGCACCATCGTCGCCGCAGCCACAATAGCCTTCCCCATCATTAGCCCATGTTTAGTCGCAACTCCTTCCTCCTATGCCTCTGTCTATGCATCCCAGAGAGTCGTCGTATCTCGGTAATAGATCATCGAATTTTACTGCTACATCAACAAATTATTGCTTCTAAATCAATGATTTCTTCTACTTCGTTTGCCAAACCGTCAAACCAAACTTATAAATTAAACATGTGTGCATAAACACAAACAAATAAAATATCATTGTCACATATTTCTAATTTAACTAATTGACAATTAAGAACGCAACTATCTGCAAAATAACCTTCCCCAAATGGGAAAACAAAGCTTAACTAATCAACAAAGAGAACTCTACGCTACTTTAAATATGCAGGAAGATATTCAATACCAATGTTTGATAGTACAACATCCACTACATCCAACTCAGAGCATGATCATAAGTTCAAGTATTGACACCTTCGTGTTCTTGTTTCATTTCTCCGCATTCCTCCTTCCTCAATCGCCTTTCCTTAATTCTTACGGATTTGTGTTGTAATACGTTAAAAGAAAGAGATTTAACCAATTTTATTAAGCAAAAGGATAGTCTCGGATAACAAAATTACATAATGGACGGGAATTCTGCAGTGCCGCCACTCCCTAACCTGCTATTCCCGGTTTTCTCTTTCAAAAGCGTGTAAATGGTAGGTAAAAGGGAAACCAGTACTTATAGTATTTAATGCACTTTAACATAGTTGTATATAAAATGAAAAAAATCATAACATATAATATTTTCATTATATAGTTCATTTGTTTATTTCTCCTATTTAATATAGATTTAATTTAATACTAAAATTTTATGAGATGTGTTACTCTAATAATTTATGATATGTTATTAAAAATATATTAACATATGTTGTTATTAATCTTAAGCTCTAAACCATCAAGAAAAAATATATTAAGCTCTAACGTTTTAGGACTTTTTTTGAAAACTAATGTTTTATAACTTTACTATGATGAATTGGTCTAAACTCTAAATAAAAGTTAGGGCTAATTCTAATTAAACACCCCAACTATCACAAAAAAATCACTTGTGTCCTAACGTATTTAAATGAGAATCATAGCACAAACTATGAGGTTTTTGTGACACTTATATCCCGACCCTTTCGTTGATGGTTAAAAATAACGGTAGACTAGACGGTGATCAAAATACGTTCACTTATGATGATGTGGCTAACACATAAATGCCACATCATTGGCACATAAAAAACTATTTAAAATAAAATGACAACAAAGAACTCATCCTTATACCTCCACCTTTAATTAGTGCTTTGGCTTGGGATGTACTTCAGTTCCCGAGGATTCACCGCCATACTACTCCAGATGCCGACGCTATTGAGAGTTAGACCATAATATGGGGGATCATGCACGGGGGAGAACACTCCCGTATACTTTGATGCATCCTCCACTATGTTGTTGTGTTAGAGAGGATGAAACTTGTGTTATGGTGCCTATTTCGGTGGAGGCATTTTAGTGTGCTTTATAGTATTGGTACTATAAAACATTTACAGCCATTAGATCATGTCCAAACTATATCAACCATTAGATTTCATTTAAATTATTAATTTATTATTTTATTTGTGTGTTGATGACCGGTACAACCGGTTGTCTGAAACCAATTACACTCTTCTTCCTTCGAAACCAATTACACTCTTCTTCTCACCGCCGAAACCCCTCTTCCTTCGATCCTCTTCCTTCCTTCGATCCTCTCCACGCAGCTAGCGAGCAGTGAAGACGGCGATCCTCTCCACGCAGTGGGTGACGACGAGTGAAGACGGCGAGCAGTGGGTGACGACGAGTAGAAGGCGGCAGTGAAGGCGGCGATTCGGATTCCGGATTCCGACGACGACAGTGAAGGCGGCGAGCAAGGGACGACGAGAGCGAGCATCTCTTCGTCGATTGCAAACGAAGACCCTCTTCCCATCGATAGCTAACGAAGACTCTGCACAAAACCCCTCTTCCCATCGATAGCTAACGAAGACTCTACACAAAACCCCTCCTCCACCGCAACTTTTTTCGGTTAGTACTATCTTCTTTGTGTTTAGCTTGATAATTAGCTGCAATGGCGGTTCCTGTTGTTCCTTCACTTGTTTTGAAGGAGAATTTGCAGCATTTACCTTCTCTTCACCTTGTTTTTGCTGTTGAGGTTGTGCTTGATTTGTCTCCGTTTCAGCAACATCCTTAGCAGGCTCTTGTTGTTGTTGTTGTTGTTGTTCCTCAATCTTCTTCTGTTGAGGAGGAGCATTGGGTTCTTCTGTTGTTAGGGTAGAAGAATTCGAGTCTGAAGAATTCACAGCAGTTCTGGTTGTTGTTGTTGTGGTTGTGGTTGTGGTTGTTGATGATGCTTCCTTTGGTGAGGAAGCTTTGGATGGATGTTGTTGTTGTAGTTCTTCCATCTTCTTCGTGGGAGGATTGATATGATATGATATGGTAGATAGAAAGGCCGTGTTCACTGAGAAAGTTGGGAATTTTTCTCTGTTTAGCCAATTGATGAATGTAGTTAAGTTTGAAGACCATGATTTGTTTGATTGATTTAAGTCTCTTTGCTATGGTTAGTGGCTCCAAGCATGCGATTAACCAACAGACATGCTTATCTTAACTGTTCACTTCATAGTATGAGTTTTCTGTTTGTGGAGTTATCGGATGTATCCGAAGGGACTGTCTGTGGAGTTAGAATTGTGTATATAATGTAGAAAAGAAGTTTAGTGCAGTGGGTAAAAGAGCTTCCATGAATGATGAGACATTAAGGTCAAACTTAGTTAGGATATTTAGAGCATGGTTGTTGGCCTTAGAATATACGGCAGCTTGGGAGGTACTCCCAGTTTTATTCTTTATTGTACATTCCGTGCCTCGATCTCATTTTATATGACTGATCAAAATTCTAGAATCTTTAGCAAGCGTTGGTATCGTGGTGGAACATTTGATACAATCAGTAGACCTCATTGTAACGCATAACAGCATCTTTTTCTTGCCTACTTCATACTGCTCCAAATTGTTAGAAGCTCGTGTATTTGTTATGTTTTCAGAGCTACTGATTATGCTGCTTCTAATGAAGGTGGTGATCGTATGTTGGTTAACGAATTGAGGAAAATGAAATGTTAAAGTTCCATGATGCTTTATCAATACTACTGTTCTGCTGCATCTTGTCCCCAACCTAGGAAATGGCGGGTAGAAGGTTACAAATGTTCAGTGGCTTTTGTTTTATTTGCAAGATATTTTGGATTTTTAGTTCATCTAAAGACTTGGGAAGAAATAAAGATGGATTTTCAATATTGTCCCATTGAAGTCGTTCTTCTTGGTAACTACTTAGCCAAGTCTAGACTTACGGAAGGTGTTGATGTGATTTTGGAAGAAGAATAGAAGTTTAGCTCTGCACCTGCTTTACTTGCTAAATGATGTTTATTCTTTTTGGACAACCTTTTAGCTGCTTTCTTCACGGTTGGGGGTCGGGTTCAAGTAGAAAAGAGGAAGTAAATAGGGTGTTTCCAATTTGAGGGTTCCATCTCACGGTTTTTGTCCCGGGCGTGATATAACCCGTGAAACCTCCTGGAACTTACATTTTTTTAAAAAACATTCTAACGGCACATCTCCCGGCCGTGAGTTTTAAGTTGTGAGGCGTGTTTTTTGGGTTTCAGCTGTGACCATCTCACGGGTTAATCTCACGCCCGTGAGATTAACAGATGAGCCGTGAGAAGTCCAGCATTTCAATTACACAAACACGGCTCATCTCACGGCCGTGATACTGTCGAACCCAACCTGTGAAACCCCCTGGAACTCCCCCTTTTTTTAAAAAAATCTAACGGTTCATCTCCCGGCCGTGAGATTTTCAGATGTGAGGCGTGTTTTTGAGTTTCAGCTGTGCCCATATCACGGGTTAATCTCACGCCCGTGATATTTAAAGATGAGCCGTGAGAAGTCCATTTTTACATACAAGGTGTTTTTAGTTTCACGGCTTATTTTAACGTCCGTGATTTTTGAAGCCAAAGCCGTGAGATTGTCTGGGATATAAAAACTACTCTTTGCTTCTCACGGGTCATGTCATGGCCGTGAGAATTTGCATTTTGGGTGAAATTTAATGGAAGCTGGGTGTTTTGGGTGAAATTTATATATGCCAATGGCGGATTTCATGGTTAATTAGTGTACTCAGGTGTTGATGTAGGGGGTTTTCAGTTCTTCTGGTAGTTAGAACTTGATATCGAGGCAAGTGTGCTTGTGAGCTCTGGTATAGTCTTGCATTTGTTCAATATTGATAAAAGCCATATATTGAAAACCAGGATTGAACTCATTACCTGGAGAATGTGTTTACCGAATGATTAAATGATCCTTTTCTCGAATGAAACTTTGTCATGACCACGTTTTCTCGAATGTGTTTAAGTGTGAAAACTGAAAGTTGCTTCTTTAGATCAGTGGTGGACGACTCTGGCTTTGTGTATTTTGTTAGTACTCTTCGGCATGCTTATAATTTTTTTGTTGTTTTAATTTTGCAGTTTGCTAAAATTGTTCTATAATGAAGACGAAGAGTCATGAAATTTTTAGCACCCGCTGTTCTCCTAGGAAAGTATTCTCAGTAGTCTCAAATTTAGAGGCTTGTCAATCAGAGGCCATTAAGAGATGTGGCTTTGGTCGTATGCTTGAAGTCAAAGGAAGAATGCTCCAACGTGAGTTGTTGGAGATCCTTTTGAAGAGCTTTAATGTGGAAGAAAGCTCAATTCAGGCTTATGGGTTGAAAGTCCATATTTCGGCCAAAGATTTCGAGTGAATTATGGGCGTGCCTGAGGGAGGTACTGATATCATCTTGAATGGTGAAGAAGTGGGACGAAGATCCGAGGAATTGAATCCATTTAGAGTGTATTCGACAGTTGATTGTGCCCGACAGGCGATTTCGACAAGCTTAATGCGGAAGGCTTTGTCGGAGATGAAAGATAGCGGTGATCTATTTCTTCAAACATTTATTTTGTACGTAATGGGGGTGCTATTAGTACCAACTAGAAGAGATGAATTTTCGTTATCTTCGGTATACGCTGTCCTCGATGTTGCCGATATTCCGAAGAAGAATTGGGCATCGTTTTGCTTCAATGAATTGGTCAAATGCATCTGCGACCATAATGCTGAGGGGAGAAAGTATATACCGGGTTGCTTGCTGTTCTTGGAGGTAAATAATTGCTAATCCCTACTTTCTACATATTTGTAATGATTAATCATCATGTTGATTATAGTATTTTTTTTTTTGTAGTTAATATTCTTGGAGCATGCAAATGGTATTTTCGAAACTATTGATAGGAGTTTGGATTTGTTGAGCTGGGGGAGCGGAGACGTGGAGTTATTGTTAACAGAAGTGGTAAGACTGATAGTATATTTGATTCTTTTGACGAGTTGGAGCATGCTAATGGTACATTTGGTTCCCTTTTTAATTAATTTGTAGGTTTCTAGCAGTTCGGGTAAAAGATCAGCTGAGGATGTAGGTTTGAAATCACCTGCAAGAAAACGGGAAAAAAGAGATGGGAAACGGCAAAAACCCGACGGTGATGAGCTGCTTCTCTGTGAGCGTATTGGCGCTCGGTTTACTACCATGGAGGGTAGAATTGACAACTTTAGGCAAGAATTTAGAGTTGCAATGGGTGATGCTGCTTCCAGAGAGAATGAGCTAATGAGTCGGGTTGTGAATATGGAGAACGAATTTCGGGCTTTTAGAGACGAAATTGGTAGTCAAGTGAAGTCCATTATAGAGGCAGTGAAAGCAACTATAGGTGATCCGTTGTCAAGGGAGCAGCCTACTGAGTTGAAAAAGAACGATCAGAAGGATGAGGCTGATAATGTGAAAGCTTCTGCAGCTGTTTTGTTGTCAACGGAGCAGCTTATCAGAGGGGAAAAGGGCAATCAGAAGGCTGAGGTTGAAAAACCAAGTGAACCCATTTCTCCTACCTCCGAATCTGTCAAGACTCAAGGGTTAGGTGTTAAGAATTGGGGAGAAGCTGAGGGGGAAATTGGAGATGACTGCGGTTCTGAATCTCCTTCTGTCAAAGTTGTGAAAAAGTCTCCTTGCAAGCAGGCGAAAGCGTCTAAAGTTGAGAAATTCATATTGTTGAGTGATGAAAGTGTTGCTGCTAATGATGGTTGTGCCAAGACTGTGAAGGTATTACACTTTATTAAGTTTTCTAATTATTTGTACTTATGGTGTGGTTACTAATGAACTTGTTTTGTTTTTATGTTTTTGAACAATAAAGGGGCGAAAGGGAGGTGGACTACGTAGTGTATCTAAATTGAAGCCTAGTTTGTATGTTGTCTCTCCATTCGAACGTGCAAATCCCAGAGCTAAGAAAGGACAACCTTTGTACCGTGCTCCTCCCTTTGTTGTTCAGACACCATTGACTCTGGAGGCAGTAAAGATGATTCAATTTGCTTTTAGTAGTTCGCTTCCCGAAAGGTACCTCCCGAAATCATTACAAGTAAGATTGGATCATATCTGTAGGAAATTTTTGGTATTTGCCTTATTCTAATGTTGTGGTGTTTGAACTTGGTCTTGTATAACAGGGACGTATTGGTTCGTCTTGATGGCGGGGCTCTTGAGTTGTTACGTGAAGATTTGGTCGAGTTTTTGCCCAGGACCAAAATTTCAACAAGGGTGAGTTCCTTTATGTGTGTAATTTAGTAGATTAAACTTGTATTGCTGACTTTGGTATATGTGATGATGATGCATTAGATTATAGAAATGGCATGTCTGTGCAAGACACTAGAAGAACGAAGTTGCGGTCGCAGTGGTGGAGTGTCTTGGTTCTTTCCACCTTCAGTTTCGGTACAGTTGTCTGCTTTGTCTATTCTTGTCATGAAATTAATCTATTTGTTTGTTACATGTAGCTTGTGTGGGTAACTGTGTTTTATTTTTCTAGGATCGTGCGTATCATTGCAAAAACGAGGAGCAATTTATGGAAAACATGCGGTCATATAAGATACTTGAGCGATACCGTATAAGTGAGCTACTTTACTGCAGTAAGGTATGTTGTAATGTTGTTTTCTAAAAGGAAATGGCTTCACACTCCTATGTTAAATTGATAATTATTGTTTGTTTGTGCATTATTTCAGATTCATGTCCCAATTTTCAACCTCACGGTGTCCCACTTCTATCTGGCGGTCTTTAACATGGAAGCCAAAGAAATTGAAATCTGGGACTCAATACCAGGAATTCATAACCTAGAATATGATGCAAGGATGCATAAACTGGTTTGCTTCTTGTTCTTCAAGTTTTAAAACTTGACTTATTGCTTAGTTGTTAGTCGTTTTTCATTTTGTCGTTAAATATCGATGAGGGGGATGTTTTCATTTGCAGAAATTGGGTCTAGACTGGTTGCTTAAGGATGATATCTGCGGGACGTTTTCATTTGTGGACTTTGTGGTTAGATATCGCCGGGATGTTGCTTGCCAACCAAATGGGTACCCTTTGTTGTTGTTCAATCGTGCACTGTTCTAATTAAGTTCGATAATTATTTGTTCGCATCATGACCATGGTAATTATTTGTTATATTACAGGTTTGATTGTGGACTATTTGTCTCCAATTACTTGCTGGATCCAGATCGATATTCCAAGAAGCTTGACCAGTTCGACAGTGACTATGAACGGGCACAACTTACAATGTACTTGCTCACGACGCATTTGAATGAGGT